AGACAGAAGTCTGAAGGTGATTGACTATACCTGAGTGCATTTACAGTACAGTATGTGTTGGGGACTGGGCTCCTTTTTAACAGCCCTCACAAACAATGGGGATGAAGCCTCTTTCCCTTTCTCATTGCTGTGAAGGTGTGTTGTTGTCCCTCATTTCCATTTATCTTTTCACTGTGCACCAGGAATTTCTTTTTCTCTATCTCCTTCATCTCTTCCATTCTTAGGTATTCTACCCACCCTCCTAAGACTCCAACAATGGTTTCTCTCACTTTCTCTTTTACACTCTTTTTATGCTAAGCACAGGATCCTACCTCTCAGTGGACAAGATTTGACTCTTCTTTCAACCCTAGTAACCCCCAGTGTTTAGGCCTCCTTACTTCCCTGTTGATGTCCAAGACAGGGTAGTGTCAGCCATGAATCAAGCTTACCTGTCCAATGTCCTGGATACCATCCTTTGGAAGGAATGGTTTTTGACTGTTATTTAAAACAGTGAATACATGCCTTGCTCCAGCAAATAAGAAGAGGATGCCTCTGTCTCAGAAGACAAAAACTCTTGCAACAGGAACTTGACAGGAGCTATTCTTCTGTTACAGATGGGGGGCAACAGGAAGGAATAATCTGGAATTTTATTTATTATCCTGTGGGCAGTTTTTGTGTATGATGGGAATCTTTCCTGAATCTTTCAGCAACTGATATTTCAAGTTTAAGAAATCTTTACTGCATTCCACGGTTTGGTTTCTTCTTGAGTCAACAGATGTAGGTAGAACAAACTCAAAGCACTCACTCATAATGGAGAATCTTTTGCTACACACAATGTAGTACATACTACAATACACCTTATCCCTTTGGGGCTATAATGTGGGAGTTTATAAGCACAAGCTCATAGACAAGTATGAATTAAATATTCCAAATAAGTCATTTTACCTAATGCTAATCATTCCCAAAAAACCACAGTGATCACACAAGTTTAATCTGAATGAGTTAACTTTGAAACTTCTTTGTCTCGAGGAAAATAAATTAGTTTGTTACTGTGGAAAATTAAATCTCCAGGTATAGAAACGATCATCGTATACAAACTTACAATAAGTAAAGGAAAACAGTGTTGCAGTAACAGTAGGGTTTAAAAAAATCGCACTATTACCATTTCAATTCATACTGTACACAACAGTAACACAAGATAGGTTTCAGTGATTCTTTTTGAATGACTGACAGATGAGCTACCTGTGAGCTGTGTGCTCTGCTATTGCTAGTTCGCTGGTGTTAAAATGGCACCAACTTTAGTCTTTTTATATAGAATTTTAATACATGAAAGAAGTTTCCATGCATTCTTCTCTGGACCAGGTTAATAGGGTTCCATTCACTTCATTTTAATCGGGAATGACACTCCCTTCATGGCAGAGATACATATATTTTCTTGTTCTCCCCCTAAAATTGCATTTTTGTTTTGCAACTAAAATTGAACATGATATTCCAAATGAGGTCTAATGAATACAATTTATAGTACAATGAATATGAGGTCTTCCCCTGATTAACATTCCACATGCTTCATCTAGTATTCTTTTTCTAGGCATTTCATCACAGTCGCTTGGTGACTAGTGACAAGGCACCAGTTGACCAGTTGACATCCGTGGACTGTTATATATCAACCCTTAACACTTGCTTAATTTGACAGATAACAGTTAAAAAGAAAACTGATTTTCTGAAATTTATTTTCTGGACAGCTGAAATTTTGTCACCAAGCATTTTTCAGGACCCTATGCAGGCAGAATCCGGAGGGGAGTGAGCCAAACACAGGGAAAAAAGGATAGGATAGGGGCTGGAAGACGACCTGGGGGGTGTGTCCAAGGTGCTCTGGTGCTCAGGGGGGGGGAGGCGTGTCCAGGGCTAAAAAGTCTGAAGGGAGTCCGTAAGAATATCTATTGGAATACAAATGTCCGGAGCTGGGTGGTCCCTGACGTCCTTGACGAAGACAGGATGAAGTTAAAAGCCAGAGTGGGATCCAGCGAAGAGTCGGGGGAATACAAAAGGGTAATGGGGCCAGGCGCTCCCATCCCAGGACCGAGATGGTCAGGACACCGTTGCAAAGCCTGTGCCATCCAGCCCCTCCTGGACTCGCTGGTAGGCAGGCATCCATCTTCCAAAGCTGAGCCTGGAATCGTGGGAGATGATGGGAATGGTCTGACTTTTTAAGGGAAAGGGGCTGGAGCAGGAGGCAGGTGCAGGAAATCGGGTAAACAAGGAAGAGCTGGAGCGTCCTTTAGAGGCGGGGTTTACAATCGTGACAAATTTCATATCATTATCTGAAATTAAGATCTTCTTGAATTGTAGGTAGCCTAAATGCTTATAAAATGATAATGAATAATAATGAGGATTTAAATACATTATTTTTTAATTAAAATAAACAGTATCACTCGTTTTGTTATGGTACTGTAGGTTTCATGGTCATTTCATGACTGCAGTGTACAAAATGTACATAAAATGTAACATATATACAAATTCATTCAGAGTTAGTTCATACAATTTGATAAACTTAAAGACAGGCAATATGTGTGTAAGCAAAAATATGCAACTGGTTTCTTTCTGCAAATGACACTCTCCGTCATAGCATGTTGCAGATGAATGGTAGAATTCAATTCAACACTGTATTTATTTGTCTGAGATGTGCGTAATGCTCATGCATTTTTGGTAAAAGATGATCATAGTAAAAAAGTACTAATTTAAATGGGGTTTAATTATAACTAAATACCAATTAGAAAATGTTCAAAAACATTTTTTCTTATAGCATATACATTTGTATGATGTTATTATTCAAGAATGAATTATGCATTCAGTTATTCATACATTACAGCAAGCTCAGAAAACTTTTGCCACATCATATTAAAAATGCCTTTTCAGTATAGTTTTTATGCTGTTGAACAAAAATATAAAACAAAAATTTGCGAGCTACCAAATAACCTTTTGCATTTAATAATGAAAACTCCCTTTAATTACACTCCAAAGCCTAAATGTTCCTTTATTTTACTATTCGATATTAAATTAATATATATTCTTTCTAAGTATAACTTTATAACATAATCTGTGTAGAACTGGATGGATATGGAATCTTATTATCACCATAAAAATGTACTAATTATTTTTCCAATTTGCTTAAAAATCATAAGGTTTACAGATCATGACAATGTGAATGACTGATGTCAACACTTCACAAACTCACATGACTATAGTTCAAACAGTGTTTCTAAAATCAACAAGCATGCAGAGCTGACATCTGCATGAGCAGTATTTATAACAAAAAATCCAAAAATTGCAATGTAATATATGCCTCATAATTATGTATTAATTGATTTTATGAATCCGTGTGGTCTTAACTTTGACATAAAACTTTTTTCACACCTACATCCTTTGAATTTGTTAAATCTTTTACATCACTTAAAAGATTTTTCACATAAAACATAAGGGAATTGTCATAACTAATAACAGTCTTGAATGTTTCAATGAAAAAAAACAAAGAAATCAATGCAGTATCGCACATTTCACTGCAGCTATTATATAATACTATTATATTGTGACAGTATTTTCCCCTGCAAATTATGGGGATCAGGAAAGTGAAAGTGTTAAAAAGAACAAATTATAAATGTACCAGAGTGGTAGGTAACATCTGAGTCATATGAGAAATGGCATGAGAGTTCTTTATATTCTCTGGTACAGTTCTGGTGATACAGTATATCAACAAATTCTACAAATGCTTTTATAACTGTGAAAGAGAACTAATCCTGCATCCTAAAGAAAAGTATATGACTCTGGACTACATCTTCCTTTGTAGTAATATGGATGTCCAAAAGCAAATGGGGATCTATCTTCCTGCTTTAAAGATGTACTACTGTATATGCAGGAGAGAAATAAGAGATGTTTTTTGTCTAAGGATTTCACAGTAAAGAAAATCCAATTTCCTTAAAATAAATAAGAAAGTTAATAATTTAACTTAAATATCCAGAGTAAACTAGAAAATTCCCTTTGATAATCTGTGTTTACATGTCTCTAAGCCCACCTGCAGCTTGGCAAACACAAGAGATTCCTAAAGTATGTTTCCACAATATCGTAATGAGGCCTTGAGCAGTGCAAATACTGTAGATGTGAAAGGTTAATGACATACCCTCCAGCTGTATATATTAATATTTACTCAAAATATATTAATCTATTTTAAAAAATAAGTTTATACATGAGCCAGGTACAAGTAACAAAGGCTTATTCATTTTTGGAAGTACTGTACATAGTTCACTAATTGTTTTCAATGTAGAATCCATTGTATCTATGAAAAGAAGTTTAAAGTATTGAGTCAATAGACTGACTAGATGAAGCTTTCATAGTGTTGAAATCAACCTTTAATAACCACAAGTAATTACAAAAAAGTAATATTACCAGATAAATGAACATGATTTAAAAAAATTACTTGAGAATTTTTCTGTTATAAAAAATATACATTCCTCTAAAGATCTAAGCAATGACACTAAATTTAAGAGCAAGCATCAATGATAATAATAATAATAATAATAATAATAATAATAATAATAATAATAATAATAATAATAATAATAATAATAATAATAATAATAATAATAGTTGTTGTTGTTGTTAATTATTATTAATAATAAATAATAATTGTATGTTAAATGAAAACTCTCTTTTTGGGTTCCTACACAGAAGAAGGGAACTCTCTTCATCCAACACTGAGGTTTAGCACTCAAAAGGGCAATGTGTAGCAGCCTTTATTTGCAGTAACCCTCCATGCAAAAATGCTTTTTAAATTTAATCAAGAGAGAACTTTAGTTCATACCTATGTATGTTATGTAAATAGTTTAAAGAAATCTTTACATGACAAAGGCCAAGATTAATAAAACAAATATCAAATATTTTCTTAAGGTGACTATGCTACAAGGATACATCAATAAGGATGTTTATTTTGTGTGTATGCCCATTTCAGAGGCAGGTTCCACTGCTGAGCCACCAGCCTCTTTTAATTGGATATAAAAGCTGGACAGGAAACTCTGGGTACCAGGTATTGAACATTGAAAGGCAGAACTTTTGAGTCACTTCTTACAGGTAAGAGAGAAATTCTTGCTCATCTGAATGCTCTCCATCTATCCGTTTTCCATTTGAATGTGTGGGAATCTTTGTTGCTCTTGGTAGAAGAACTTGCATACTGCATCTCCATCTCAATAGTTAGAATTAATAGGAATTAATTTATGAGACAAGGTGCAGATGTGCATTTTTTTAAATCCATAAATGTATTAAGAGCTACACAAATAAATATTGTTGCCTTTAAATGATATACTGCACAAATATTAACATATCTATTCTGTGAGCAGAAGAGTCACCATGATCCATCTTCCTGCATCAGCACTACTCTGTCTTGTCCTTGTACTCACTGTGGATTCAGGTAGGTGGATCAGTACTGAGTATTATAGAATATGAATACTGGAATGAGTATGAGCTATCAGTTTTACTCTATAAATTCAGTAGCACTCTATATTACTACAAACATATTTAATTTTCAAAATGTATATGTTAAGAAATCATTAATAATCATGTAGGGACTCTCTTCATGAAAATGTATTTGATTATTAACTAAAACAGGTTTGCATATTTAAATGCTCTTTTAATATATAATATTGTGACAATAGCTCATTTTTTGTGTATTTGCAATGTGTTATCCTGAAATGAAGTAGTACTTCAATCAATTATTTTCATTATAATTTACAAAAATTACTTAACTAAGTTTCAATCTTCCCCCACTTCTGACTGATACACTACATTTCTCCATGCACTTTCACAATACAACTCCAATATTCCCCACCTTTTAGACCCCCCTTTCTGTTACACATTCTGCACATACTCACACTGTCACGCATTCCACATGCCCTCACAAACACCTTAACATTCCCACGCACACTCACTTAAACAAAATCGCCCATACTGCAGCTAACCTTCCTATCACCTTTCACTCCAATCACTACTTAAACCCTCCTCTTTTTTTCTTACCTTTGTTCACTATTACGGATTCTCTTCTGCAGCTCCCTAGTGCGCGTACCATTTCCTGATTCTGTTTCTCTTTTTGGTTATTGGATTGATTGCCTCCGTTGTGTTATTTCTACCAGGTTTTGACTATTGTCCGCCCATTGCATTTTGAATTCTGGGCCTTTTTTTCGTATCCTTGACTCTAAAGACTTCCTGCTACTATTCTGGTATTTATCTACTACTATATCTTCAGCATTGACAATTGCTAACACTTATCCTTTCAAACCCATTCTCACATTCCTGGTTTTGCCCTTACCCCTTGGCCTCCTATTCCTGCTGTATCATTCTAACACAGCCTTCCAGTAGAAATATTGCAGTTTTCTTTCTACTTTCAGTGTACAATTAACCTGTTTGTTCCATACTTGTATTATGCCACCATTTACCTGCATCACTGTCTATCATAAAAGAAACCTCAGATTTAATTATTTACAGGTTTTCTGTGGTCTGTGGTCAATTCTCTGGTGAATTGATTTATTGATGGAACCGAAAGTATTTCACATTTTGCTGTTAGATCAGTGATAAGAAAACTGATAGTTGGGATTTCTTTAAATGCAATTGCAAGAACAAGTATTGGAACAATTCTGATATCAGCTAACCTGTTTATAAGTAGAACACTCACTGTAATTCTCATCCTCATCCCTTGACCCCATCATCACCCTTAAAGCAGCTCCTTGTCTCTTTCTTGTAAAAAGGAGGGGAGGGGGGTTTCTGACAGCCAGCAAGAAATTAATCTCATTCAAATTATTGTACATCTCTATTCCACCTTAATTAGATTTTGGACACTACCATCTATTGCATATTAATTTGTTAGATAGCATTCAAGATTTTTATTTCTTAAATATTTTTTTCAAAATTATATCTCATTGTATCTTGATTGCAAACAATATGGTGGGGGCAGAGGAAGCAGTGCTTATTCCATTTTGTTTAGGGGGGGAAACAAAAGCTGTACAATGTTTTATGTTTTTTTAAAAACTGATAGTGACTTATTTTTCATTGTATCATTAGAAAGGTTCTTGATATCTCTTTTCTATTTGGCTGAAGTGAAATAGCATTTTAAGTCAGGTAGTTTGATTCAACTCTACCATTTTGTTACCTTTGCTTGACCCTAATTCTGAAGAGGACGGGAAGGGAGAGCAGTGCCAGGGCACCTGTCCCCCGGGCTGGGAGAGCTTCAGAAACCGTTGCTTCCAGTATGTTGCACAAGAGAAGCCATGGGCCGAAGCTGAGGTAAGTAATGCTTTGAATTGAACTTATACCTCTCTCTGCTCTCCCTTCTTTGTTTGTGTGTTGGGGAAGTGGATCTTCATAAAGATTGAGGATAGATTTAGAATGTTTTAAATTGACCTATCAACATGATAGGTTTCAAGAAATGAGAGCTTGCTTTCTTCGTTCTTGGTCTCTAAGACTCAGTTCGGGTGTAATGATACTGCAGTGATCAAATGAAATCGGTCAGCATTTAAATAATAGATTCAGTACAATTGAACAGAATTGTTCAGGTCAGAGATTATGTCTACACTTACTGCATTTACATTAGTTTGTTTCAAAACTCTTTGGACTGGTTCCAGAGTAAGAATATCAGAGCAACATGACATTATAAATTAGGTCTACCAGTGCTTTGTATAATTGTAACATAACATTCCTTGATGTGACTTTACTATGCTTTATTATTAACTACGATGTATATCCTAGTATTTTGTCTGTTTGTTTTTTATTGCCGACACAATTTTGTCTGGAAGATGAAAGCGGTGTGCATACACAACCAGTGGATTCAGGATGCATCCTGTCCCATGTACATTTATTTAAAATAGCTTTTTAAGTCAGGTTATGCGACATCTTTTTGGAATGCATCTGCCATGCAAACAAAGAACTACTGTACCTGTATTGGCTTACTTGGACAATTTTTCTTACACTGTATTCCAGGATTTTCCAGTATGATTAATAATACAAAGCAATCTCTGTCTTCCCCAGTAATCTGGAGTAATAATACTGCCACGACTGCCATGCAATTGAACATGAGTTGTTGTCCACTTAGCAGTATCACTGTAACACTGAAAAAGTTTTGACTGTAGATTCTATATACAGTAGATATAGTGATCCAAAATGACAGTCTCTCTCACTCACTCTGACATCTCTCTCTTTTTTTCCAGACGGAATGTATCAGATTGGGTGGAAACCTGGCCTCAGTGCACAGTGAAGAGGAGAATACATTTTTGGTGCAGTTGATCAAGTCTAAAAGACCATATCCCGCATGGCTGGGAGGTAGTGACTGCCAAAAGGTATAGTATTCCTCACAGATACACAACTCCAGGATACAGACAGGAACCACAGTACAGTATGTTTACTTTTCATAGTATACAGAACAGCATTAATGTGGCTTGGTTCTTTGGACCATATTCTTACAGCAAACCGTAAGAGTATAAGCTTGTAAAGGACATGAGAAGGATTGTAATTAAGAGAAAGTACTTTCAAATTTATATAGTTATGGTTTATGTTTCTAACAGAGTATAAGTTATATCAATAAACTATTGGAAACATTGTGGTTAAAGAAACTACCCGTTGATTACGTCTTTGGAGTTTATTATGACACATCATTTTTATCATTTCAACAAAAAAATGTTGGTGAGCACTGAAAACCCCCCAAAAATATTTGGATATACTGTATAGTTAAAAGTGTAGATTTCAAATCCCCCCTGGTGAGCTCGCAGAAAAGACATTTCATTGTATTTCATAAATAAACTGATTGACTGATTAATTGATATCCCTATCTATAGGGTCACTGTGGATCAACATCAGCTATGTTGCATAGGAGTTCTATGTTTTACATGCATTACATTTGCATGTAATTAACTTTGCACATACAGTAACATTGATGTAAAAATTAATTGAAGTAGATCAAGCCCTAGCCATATTGAATGCAAAGACTGACAGTCAGCAAAGGAAAACAGAACTTGTCTGGTAAGACTCAAAACATCTCTTGTCTAAAAGACTTTGCGTGACAGTCACTTACAATATACAGCTCTTACAATATAAAATATGTCTGAAATTAAGATATACTTTAACTAATGTATTTATTTCCTTCCATTATTCTGTCCTCTGTGGTGTGAGCAGGAGGGCACATGGCTCTGGAGTGATGGATCCAAATGGGACTACACCAAGTGGAATCCCACTGAGCCCAACAGCTCTGGAGTAGAAAACTGCATACACACATTTTGGGGTAATAATATTCAATTCTTTTAAGAATAAGGTATAAGGCAGAATAATTTAAGAATACGGCACGATTCTTTTTAGCCACACAGTCTTTTTGACTATTGTTTTTTTCCCAAAAAAGACAGGGATAAAATAAAAAAAAATTAGAAACATTAATCAATATTCAGATAGCAATATGAGATGAAGATCTCTAAGACTGGTTGCAAATTTTAAGCACAATAAAAAGCAAAGCATGAGCATGTACAGATTGACAAATTAGAAATCATATCCGTCCCTGTATGTCAAGTTTTTAAAAGCTATTATAATCTGTATAGCACTGGAATAATTCCAGAGATGTTAATCAGCAATTAATAACTCACTTGTCCTGCTTTCCAAGCATTTTGGTAACATAATAATGACTTTGTCTGTATTGCTGGAGTTATCTGTCACCATGTCCAGCACCCTGGTTAGATGCTTATTCTGAGTGGACATCAATCTACAACAGGATTTTGCAAGAATACAAAGGATATGCTGTAATGCTTGGCTTGATATGGGGCATAATCAAGTGGGCAGCAAACACTAATACCACAGATATTTGGCTACCCGGCATGTAGTGGACGCATCTATCACTAGGATGTCCTAGCAGCACATCAGGGGGTGCGGGAGGCCTTCCCAAGATCAAGTGGTCCAGGTAGACCAGGCAAAGTAGCGCTTATCAGCAAAAAGGTGACATGAAGCTTGGGGCATTGAGGCTAGCCAGTGGGGCTGACCTGAGGCATGGAGTGGCCAAACATGTAAAATGCTCAGAACCAATATCTGTGAAGGAGCCAGCATGAAGCACAAGAATCTTCTGAAATCAAAAGTCATCAGAGATTTGCCAGTCGAAGCAGCTGGAACACCATTGTAAGAATGAGAGTTGAGGCTGGTGCCCAAAAACACTGTGTCCTGAAAAGACCCAGGTCCTCATGTAGCTCTAGGACCTTTGTGTTGTGCAGAAACTTAAATAGCCAAATCATCCAAGTATTTTGCAAAGCAAATGTTTGTTAAATGGACAGAGACTACAAAAGTGTAACAAAAGACCCTATGTGGATGACACAATCCGGGGTTGAGTGAGAATACACGAGGGAAAAAAGGCATGCAGGGGATTAAAAAGGGGGCGTGTCCATGGAGTGCTGGTGGTCGGGGGAGGTGTGGCCGAGGCAAACGATCCAAAACAGAGTCCAATGCGAAATCCAGGATGAAAGCAAAAGATCCAAAGCCGGGCGGTCCATCCGAGACTGATGGTTAAAAATGGGAACCAGGTCGGAACCGGCAGGGGGAACAGGAACAGAAACAGAAACTTAAAACCATAACAGAGCCAGGCGATTCCAGGTCCCGGGCTCGCGAGATTCGGGAATTAATGCAGAGCCCCGAACTGAGTGGGTGTCTGGCTTTTAAGGGGAGCTGGAAGGAGGCTGGAACAAGGGGCAGGTGCACAAAATCAGGTCCGAAGTAAAAGAGCCGGAGCGCCCTTTAGAGTTTTAGAGTTATTGCAACAAACTGGACTACAAGACAAAACTACAAAACATAACCCTAAACAATTAAACAAAGGTAGCACCTGTACTGTTTTGCAATAGTGATGTAAGTATAGGTATGTGTCCTTTAGAATCATTCCCATTGTGGACTGACGGGGGGAGTGGTTGCAAGATTCACTATGGTCAGAATCTAATTTGGGGGCCTGATTTCTCAAGGGAAAGGGGTCACCTAGGACCTCCTGGATGATGACTGAAATGGGAACATTGAAATGGTTTTTGGACCATTCGTGTTGGACTTCTGAGTGGGAAGTCTGGATCTTGTATGCATATATCTTGTATGCAACATATCAGTCTTCTTCTTCCTTGTGTGCTACAGTCATGCTCTGAACCAAGATACCTAAGACAGAAATTATTTTTTCCCTAAACATGAGTGTGATGCTACAACTGGTGCAGTGATGTGAAATGATAAAAAATTACTTCAGGCTATTTAGAAAAGTACTCATGTTTAGTTTCTTCCTCTTGTCTTTCAGCTCAACTAAACTGGAATGATATCGCATGCAACAATAGATACCCCTTTATCTGTGCCTTGAGACCAGAATCTGTGTTGGCCTAAGAGGGACTATTTTTTCCCTGTAAAGGAATTCCTCAAATTGTGGGGTTTGTTCTTGTATTATCTGTAACTGATATTTCTTTGTTAATACATACTTACAGCATACAATTCTTTGGTTTGTGCTTGATTGAAAATATGCATAAATAAAAAAACATACCAAATTGGAAAGCATTTGAAAATAAGTATAGGTCGCCCTCCTCTTTTTCCATACCTTCAGAAATAGTTAAAAAAACAGTAGATTTTATATAAGATGAGTGAATAAAATAAGACATAACATAAATTATCACAAGGGTTGCCTTTAGTATTACCAATGGCATAGTTTAATACTGACTAGTTGTATTTCGTAATTAATGCCTTAAGTCCAGCAGTTTAAGAATCTACAAAAATAAATAAAACAGTTTGAGGTATCCTAACTAACACAAAAATGTACACAGCTGGCACAAGGAAGAGCAAAACAGGACAGGGGAGCTCAACTTTCCATCACTATTTAAATTACACATCATCTCTTCATCTTCTAGACATCTTAAAGAAAAGTGATGCTTATAGTTACATCTCTCACCATTTCTTCCAGTTTTGTTTCTTTCACCTGCACTGAGAGATGGGCTGATGAATGGCCCTGCTCCATTTCATACCAGGATCTATTTACACCTTACAAGAGGAAAAGCAAAACATGAGATCATGAGACAGCTACAGTTTTACCAAATGGGCTATATGGACCGAAGGGTCTCTTCTCTTTTGTAACCTTGATATTTTTATCAAGAATGAAACAGAAAACTAAAGTAATAGGTTTATTCCATGCTGAAAAAAAGAAGAAGAGAGAAAAAAAACACAACATTTCGGCTGTGGAGCCTTCTTCAGGTGTCAATATTATAGTCAATATTATAATATATGTACTGTGTATACAAAAAATATTTACACGCCCATTTCCTAATAGGGTTCTGTTCCACAAGTCTTTACATAACCCAATAAACACTTTCTTTACTATTGTGTGAACACACAGAGGCCTTCTTTTCATGGTAATGCACCAACATAGAGAACAAACCCCAGTTCTCAAGAGAGAGAGAGAACAGGTGCTATAGCAGAGACCTGGGAATTGACAGTCAATCTAGACAAGATGGAAGAAAGACCACGTCACATTGATCAACAACTTGATCAGGAACACACAACCAGCTACTGAATTTTGGTCTGAGAATCAGTTCCTATGGGAGCTTTGACCTGATGGTGAGGGTACTGAAGAAGAAGGTGCACAGGGCTTTCTATAAAAACAAATGCCATAAAAATCAGACTGCAAATATTTAAAAGTGTAAAATGTAAGTTTCATTCACAGGCTAGGATTATACTACGCAGGGGAAACACTCAATAAAAGATCTACAAAGTTCTATAAAAGCATTCTTCATATCTAGATTAAAACACCAAACAATGTGTGCGGGGATGTTTTACGCTAATATCCACGCTAATACAGTATATATACAGTACAAAAGAGAGCAATAAAATATTACTGATACTTAAAAAACAGTAACCACAACTCCTACCATCACAAGACCCTGCTGAGCCCAGACCCTGCTGAGCCCATCTGGTCCTGAAGTGAACTGAAACCTAAGAACACAACTGAAACACAAATCCAAGTCAATTAAATCATAGTACAAGCCAATCAACATAATCTTATCCACTTGTACACACAAACAAGCACAACATAAAGTGGTATGCTAGATGACTCTAAAAAGATAATAAACACGGGCAAGGTATCTGACCACCATATGAGACAGCAAAGAGAAACAGACCCCTACAAAATACAGGCTCAGTTACCACAGGCAAACCTGGCTTCCCAAAGAGGACAGGCGTTTCTCCCGTTGCCCTCTACCAGCATTGCAAACGGAAGCAGGGACAGACACACTGTGAGATATGTTGAAGGATTAGACGAAACATTGTTCTATAAAATAACAGATCTAATCCCAGTATTCCTCTGACTGCCAGACTCTGAACAGCTTCCAATCCTACAAGGGGAGGGAAAACACAACTGGGCTGGCAGCCCAGTATGTGATCTCCTGTCAAGCCTGAGGAACAAGCCGTGAACCTGTCTCACAATAATGTATGTTAATGCCCAGTAATATGTTTTATTTTAAAGGTCTGTAAATGTAGTGCTAATTGTTTCTGCTTTAGCAACACTGTAATTCATTGGTCATTGCAAAACAACCCTTTGAATTTGAGAATTTATGGAGCAGTAAATGTGATAGAGAGAGAAAGGAAACCTCTCTTCTATATGTTTTAAAACCTTATAATTAGAATTGTTGTGGCTGGGGAGATGGCATAAAACTTAATAACAAATTATCTCAGTCCCAGCAGAGCTTACAGGCTTGTAAGCACAGAGGATAAAATAACAATTTCTGTTTTCTGGTTTACTCTTATTAACTTCTTTGTAAATCATAAATGGAGTCTTCATCAGAACACTGCATAAGAAAGATGGGGAACAGGGAAGGAACAGAAGGAAGAAAGAAAGAGAAGAGGACCCATTACTCTTGCTTGTGACAGGAGAAAAAACCTTGCTATGATCAGTCTTGGTGACCAGATTCTGTAACTGTGAACAAGAAATATGAGCTTTGTTTTAGAGAGGTTTCTGATCTGTCACGCCCTCTGCAGCCAGAATCGCTCCTTCTCTGTCCTGTATCTAATTTCCAGTTCTTGCTGTCCTTCCAGTGTTTCTCTCTCCCTGTGACTATATATTTCCGGGTCTTTCATTCTCCCTTCGCTCAGCATTGGCTATCGGGGTCCTGAAACCCGCCTAGCACCAGGTCGCCCCACGTCCGCTACCTAAGGGCATAGGTTTCTATACGGGATTCCCTGAACAGCTGAGCTCGGGCTAACTCCCGTCTCGCTGCTACGCATAGGGTCTTTTGCTCTCCTGCCATTCCACAGTTTGTCCTTTCCGACATCCGTGGCATACTGTTTATTATGAACTTTTGCCTTCCTTTATTGTGGAAGCCTCAGAATAAAGATGTTCCCTCATAGATGGCAATGCATTTTTAAAACAGGGAGATAGATTTAGGACACAAGGTTTATCTTTTTGTTGGCCTATTAAGGTTTGTATAGTATTTGATATTAGAGGTCTTAAGAATACATGGTCTCTAAGATGCATGGTTTTACAAATAGTGCAATGTTTAATTGTATATGTGTAACAGTTCTACTAATGTCAAGCTGACTTCAGACAAATTCCTCAGAGATCACAACTTACACACTGATGATTATAGAAATAAGAACAAGCAATTCAGTCTGAAAACAACACTACATGATAATGACCCAAGACATGAGAAAGTTTATTGCCAGTACTGTAAATCCTACGTGAAGTGTAACTAGTAAGCTTTTACATTTTTAAAAAAATGTAAACTAGGCATTAAACAAAAAACCCCAGCTGGCATCTGAAACTTACAGTAACCACTTGGCCTAGCATCGGTCTCTGTTTCTCTCTGTCTCTTTTTCCCTCTCACCTCTCAGGTGAAAAAGCTTTTAAATAAGACACACAAAAAAGCCAGTGAAATTAACTGCCAGAGAGGCATCCAGCCAGAGAGACTAGACTCCGGAATTGCTGAACAAAAAAGAAAATATTACGCATCTAATGTAAAAGTCATTGCAAAACAGCAGGGTACTGCAAGCAGCGGTGAAGAGATACAGGCTGGAAAAGGAGGGATTAAGCTGTAGCACTGCTGTGTGCTGCAGAGCAGTAGCTACGGAGGTGTTCCGGATGGAACCCAAGTGCTTAAGCTCGAGGGTCTTGGTAACACTGCAAGGGGGTCTATGGCTTATTCAAGATTTAGCAGGGTATTCTCTGGAAGCAGCAAATGTCTGGTGCCACTGAGATGCCGAGAGTGCTCTGTAGTTCAGAATCTCAGGGAGCAGTTTCCTAGTCAGAAACTGAAAGGAAAGCAGGCACTCAGAGGTGAAAGTCAAGATTGCTTACATTAGTCAAAGAGACATGCTTTGAGCTGATCCTCCAAAGGACCTCAATGTCAGAGCACTTGCAGAGTAGCGGTTAAATAGAGGAAGATTGAATTTGTAGGTTGGTTACTTGATTAGCAGGGGGGTCCTCAGCCCCACAGGAGAACCACCATCAGACTGTGGGAATGTGACTGTCTCCTGACCAGCCTGGGTGAGACAACAGTGTGACAGTCTTACTACAGTACATGTTTAACTTTTCAGCCAAATAATTAACTATTTTTATAAACATATATCACACTAATGATTTGTCTATATTTTTGTCCCTTTTTTTCTATGGTACAAAATGCTGATATACTAGGTACAGTATGTTGTTATATCACCATGCTTATTTCTGCTTATTTAAATTAGCTCATATTTTTTTACCCGATCCATCCTGCATGCAGCTTTGTTTAATGTCAAAGCTGCTATTTACAAAATGTACAAAATGTGCTAACATGCACTTTTCTTCCAATCAGATGTAGTAAACAGCTCAGTTGGAGAGACTTGGTTATTACATGCTTGTAGAAGCCTTCTCCTTCTCTGGGTTAGAAATAAACATTCTAGAAGATAAGAGGAAAACATATTTTCCAGTAATAACAACACAATATATGTACAGATTTTCAAGATTTCTCATGGTAACTCTTCTGTGCTCTCAAGGTAACAGGTAGCAATGCTAGAAAATATAGCTAAAGTATCCTTTCTGGCACAACATGACTGTTGCTACAGTAAGTAACCTGAAGTGAAATCAGCTGCAAAATCTCAGCTGGCAAGCTGGTGCTTGTCTCAACGTCAGGCTATTCCTCAACTTTGCATTCTTAAAATGATAGGCTTATGTTTTGTGTTAACTGAGCTACAATGTACTCAGAGCATGTCCAATGACATGAACTCCATTTTTGTACTCCATAATGTCAACAAAAAAGCAATAATACGGCAGTAACTTTGCTTATTATTTATGTTTAAATATCGATAAAAATAACATCTTACACTGGCCCCTCAATTTTTAATATTTAATTTTTATCCCTACATTAAATTGTTAAAGGACTTTTCAGATGATGAAACCTCTGGACCTGTTTGACAGTGCTTTGCAATGCCTTACTAACCATAGCTTATAAGACTCACTAAATATATTGGAAAAACAACGTTAATTGACAGTAAGAGAAGTGTGCTTAAACAGAGAGCTGAAAACCCCACCTGTTTATCCTTCAGTAATCCTGTATAGCAGTAAAAGTCTTGTTAGACTTGCAATTTGTAACTGTCATATAGTTTTGTGTACTTAACACATGCTTTTAAAAAGAAACACATTTCACAATATCTACTGTAAAAGTATGATATCTACAGTATATCTGCAAAATGTTTTTTTTTTAAATTATCCATCTGTCATCCATCCATTTTGTAACCACTCTTTACTATATAGGGTCACAGGAATATATCAGAAATCAACAGACAAGGCAGGATGCACCCTGAAAAGGGCACCAGTCCATCACAGGCACATGAGGACACACTCACAACAGGCCCAATTTTCCCACAAGAAACTCACACTCACCAGTATGAGGGAAGAAACTAGAGCACCTAGTGAAAACCAGCATGAACACAGGGAGAATATACAGTACAAGCGCCAGGCTGATAGCACCCCTGGTCTGGAATCCATCTCCAGGCCTCTGCGCTGCAAGGCAGTAATTCTAACCACTGCACTACTGTGGCACCCATTGTCCTCTTATCCCTTTTATTATTTAATGTGTTCAATTAATAAGTTCTTAAAGATGCTACCTGAAATTATTTCAAAGTTGTCTTTATTGTTCTAATTTCAGATTTTAAAAACGTTTGTAGGCAAGCAGGAAATTCTACAAGTAGGTCACAATACAGTCTTTCCCTTATCTCAATGTAAAGTGTTAATATACTATACATTTAGCGATTTTTATCAGTATACTAATATATATTAATGTATTTAAAATAAAGTATGGAACATTATGTAGAATGAATAAGATTGTAAAGCATTTTCCATTTCCTATAATATATACAGTAACGTAACATATCATTGTATTCATTGTATGCATACAGTGTCCTATGCATTGAAGAAATCATAACTAGATATTAAGACACTAGATATTAAACTACAACTAATATAAATAATTACCTAACCTTTATCTTATTTTGACAAATACATTTTTCAATACTTTACTGTTATACAAAGAGGTACTTTGATTACAGTAGCAAGCTCTGATCATTCTCATATACACAAACTAATATTGACCAAAATAATTTACAACATGGTTATCCATATGTATCAGCATGCAGTTTGCCAAAAGCTAAACTTTAGTTACACAAGAACTAAATAACCAACATGCAGTAAATAGTACTCCTTGCTGTCTTTGGGTTCCCTTAAAGAAAGCAATACAAGTTGTATTTCTGTGACGCATTCTTTATACCAAGTTATAGAATGCTGCCTTATTGGATTCTGTCCTATTCCTGTCATTGAACCAGGATAATCATGTGCCTTTTTCCTAGTCTTTTGAGTGTCAGATGCCTCACATTATTCCAGCTCATCTGACATATTCAATAGTTCTCAAATCTGTTAAGCAGCAAATCCAAGGTTCAATTGACATAATGACACATTAAAGGAAAATACAGTGCTTTATTTTTCTAAACATATACATTTCCATACATGCCAGATCTCAATGAAAAATACCTGTCATTACACCAATCTGTAAACCCTATGAGAAAACAAAATATTGCCCATTACAGTACATACCCATTCTCACCCATTCTTTTAAAATAGTAGATTAGAACAAATGCTACTTAGAATCACTTGACCTCTTATCAGAAAATCAGCTTGGTTTTCACACAGATAGATTCAGTTTGCTGTAAATCCTAATCCAATGAGAACTAAACTACAGCATTTCAAAAGTCAGCAGTTTTATCCAGACAAACAGTATGTATAAAGTATATTTATTAAGGCTTTGACATTTTGTATGCACTGGGAGGGTTTGTTTAAATGTCCAGTACTCATTTCTATAGATGAAGTGTTCTGGAAAATACCAAGTTTTTGTTTAACGACAAAGATAGTGCCTGAGGTCGAGGCGCAATTTTATAGATGTTTATGTTGTCAAAAAGCATGACATTCAGTACTCATCCTTCTTTACTGAACTGAATAGAAATTTTGGCTCCAGTAAGATCTAATGTGTCTACTAAGACAGAGGAGGAACCTGTGTTATTATCGACAGTTAAGAGAGGAAATAAGAAAAAGTCCTTTTATTATGAATTACAAGATATGCTGAACTTAGCGTGAATGAGAAAGAAAGGGAGTTCACACTCCCTGTAAAAATATCTATCTGTAGTCAGTATCAATGAACTGAAATTATGTTATAATTTGTATTTAAAAACATATTTAAAAAAGCATTTTTACAGTAAATGTTTCTAACTAGGGGCAGCACTGTGGTACAGTGGTTAGCATTAGTATCAAGATCCTTGGATTAGTGCCAGATTTGGTGTGCTATCTGTGTGTCAGTTTTCCCCAACAGTATTTATATGGGTTTCTTCCAGGTGTTTCAGTGTCCTCCACAGTCCAAAGACAAACTGGTAGGTTAAGTGGGTTCTGGGAAAATTTATCCTAGGTGTGAGTGTGTTTGTGTCTGTGTGTGCCCTGAGATGGATTGGTACTGTATCCTGCCTTACCTTAAGCCTGTAGCTTGCTGGGATAGTCTCCAATTCAGCTCAGATAAGAAACAATGGGCCAATACTGAGGTAGCCAATGTTTCCAAAAACGTATTCTCTTTAAAACCTTGGCAGTAGTCTATAGCAATATATGCTATATTATAGTCATCTAAGTGACTATAAGCTTTCTTAGTTAAGCATGATCTTTCCAGGGTTATCCTTTTGTGTTGTTCCTTGTGGATGATATCTTTTCTTTGGCTTATTCCCATTTATAACTGTTTTTTCCACATGGGAATTATTTGTCAGATAAATGTCAATTGCTATAGTGAGAACAAAATATGACACTTAGCATAATAAAGTATTAAGGGTGCTGTTAAGAATTTAGAAGATCAAAAATAGATTTGTCTACTGTATGTGATGATAAGCTGTAAGTAATAACTAAAGTTGTTAGACAGAAACAAAAGTTTTATTTTTACAGTTTCATCAGCTTTATAAAGACAGAAGACTGAATAAATGATGTTGAATTTTAAAAACAGTAGATAACTGACACATACTAAATAATATAAGAGGTAAATAATATTGATATAGGATTATTGAGATTATATTACTATGTTTTTAATACTGTGAATATATGAACAATATTACTTATATAACATGATATAACATAACATATAACACTCCAGGTACACAGATTTCAAGTTCATAAAGCAGAATATGTAATAGGTTTATATTAACTTTTTCCAGGCTCTTCTAGAAATGTAGACGCAGCTGTTGTCTAAGGGTATTGGATTTGTCTTGTCTGAGTATTTGAAAAATAATGAATAAATTCCTCATTAAGAAAACCAAAAAAAAACATGAATAATGTTCACATGAATGATTATTTTGCCCTGTTTAACATCTATAGATTGGAGGAAGATGTTAATGTAGGAGAAAACATTCTTTAATAATTGAATACTCGAAAGTCTGGGCTTTCAAGCATTACATTACATGGTGTGGAAGGGAAAGTGGTGCTTTACTGCATGATCAGAATTGATATAATATGAATCCAACAGTTTTATTTTGAATACCATACCCAAAGACTTTAGTGATAGCCATGGACATGAGAAAAAAAAAAAGCATAACGAGGTGGCTTAAGAAGTGGATGGTTGGTACTTTTCACAATGTGTGCCACTCAGGTGACGCTGACATTTGACAGTGTATCTGAAATGAAAGGTTCCGTGGTCTAGTGGGCAGCTGATGTATTGGCTGCCTTGTGTGGGATATACACGGCAGCTGCCAAGGAGGTCATCCTGCCAAATATCCTTGTCCCAAACTTCAAATACAAGCGCATGCCCAATCTCCACAGAGTCAAAGATGAATGTTTTTAACCAGAAAGGGTTATTGTCCTCACTGATGAAGTGTGTCTCTCTGTAATTGCCATCATACCACATTTTCACAAAGCCATCTGCTCCTCCAGCATAGTCCCCAAATAAATCAGAGGCTCTGTACACAAATACCTCCAATTTGCCCCACCTTCGGTTTCGTGGACAACAGTTGTAGTCCATATTGCGTTCCCACACACAGGGTTGAATCCCAGCAATACCTGTTGGAAGACTATTGTCCTGGATATATTCTCTCACTGCAGTTTTCAAGTTGGCACTGATGACTGGATCCCTGACCAGCTCGTGAAGTGGATAGAGGGAGTAGGCGAAAATATCTGGGCTGTCCTTCAGGCTGTTCAGCCATTCACTGTAGGCTGAAAGATTAAACTCGGAAAAGAGAATGTCTGCAATACGTTTTTTCCCTCCCATGACTTCCATCATGTGAGTCATGAACCCTGTGTAGAAACCCATCCTGTTGTCATGGTTTTGCAAAATGCTCCTGCATTTGCTGCTGAGACCGTTGGCATTGATCCCCAATCCGATGCTCAGTACAGCTCCCAGGCACTCCTTGATCTCAGAAAGGGAATGACCATTCAGGGAGGCCAGGCAGGTCCGGATGGCAGAGATTTGTCTCACTCGACCTCCCAGCTGGACATTCCTGATGTAGTGAGTGCCATAAATGTCAATGAGGCGCCGGTATGAGGGTTTGGTGTTGGAATCATACTGCTGCGGTAAACTTCGTATGTGTTTGGAAAATTCTGCAGTAAGTTGGGGATCCTCAGTCAGCCGGTAACTGCAGAAAGGTAGGGAAAAAAGGAATTAATTGAGGTAAATATACAATGCAGGTCCACATATGCAGCATGCAGATTTTATTTTGGAACAGTACAAAGGTGGGATAATTTATAGGACACAGATTTAAAAGATATACAAACTAAACGTATAATACAAGATAAACAATTATCTATACATTATTTGTAAAGGTCCTTGAGTGTAGGCCTTTTACAGTCTCACTCATTCCTTGAAAGATGATGGATCAACCTTAATGGCAACTAAACAAATTGTTTAAGGAAATAATATTTGTTTCTATGTAAAAACACATCCTGAACAGCACACACTGTATTTCAAAACTAATGCTAATCTGGAAAAAGCATTTCTCCATATTCAATAATGCATCCTGAGATACAGAGTAATCCTGGCAGTTATTATAAGTAGAAAAAAAGTCTCTAATCTAATTAAAAAAAACATAGCCCCATTTTCTTTAATTTACTGCCAATCTTTTCAGTGCTCAAAAGTACTTCCTCTGTTTAAATTTACAGATTTTATATAAAACTATAGTCTTTGCTTTTCACTTCAGCTTAGACATTGGGCTACAACAGCATTGTATAAGGTAAGAATATTTGTTTCTTATTCTGTATCTCTGATGCAGAGGAAGTGACTTTATCGCTAATATAAAGTGATATCCCTGTCATTCTACCTCCTGACGGGTCCAACATACCGGAGCTGGAAATTCCTTTACCTTTGTGCACACAGACCTCACCTGTAGTATTTGCAGCTGACCTCATGGATGGCAAAGGACATTCTGTCTTGTCTGGAGTTGGAGAGGGCAAAGTGAGCAATATTTGATTGGCTCCCACCCAGGATTGCTGAGCCCACCGTGTTCAGTTCCAGTCCAACCCCCCAGTTGTTGTTGATGGAAGAAATTGAGTTTTTGATCACACTCTCAACGGAGGAGAATAACCCACTCGACAACTGATGGCGACAGTGGCTTAAGGAGCGCCAATCCAGTACTGACACAGGGAGCTTCTGGAGTTTACCTTCCTGGTGCTGGTTTTCACAGAGGGTGCAGGATCCATTACTCGTCAGGAAGGTTTTGATATCAATCATATAGGAACCCTTATGCTGCATTTTGACAACATCAAAGCCCTCCCCAGCCAGATCGTATCCAGGCACAAATGGAGCTTGATCACACTCTGAAAAATTCCCAGTCCTGCAGGCCAAAAGCCCGTACATCTGTGCCAGGATATGAAGAAGGCAGATGAAGAGAGATTGCCTGTGCTTGTTTAACGCCATTGCTCAGCCTTTCCAATCCTGGGAACCTAACCAAGCACTGTGGAATAGTCAACAAGGGAAGGAAAAAAAAAAGATAACTTAATTGTCTTGATATTTCTACACTTTATTTTTTTCAATTCACATGACCTGCAGTATAAGTAAATGAAAAAAACAACATCTTCTTTACATAAACTGGTGCACTGGTGTTTACAGCTTTAAGACCGTTATATGTTGTTAGAACTTATGTTAAAGACATAAACAATATTAAAATTAGATAGCCGTAATGGTGGCAAATCAACATGTAACAATGAATAAAAGGTTTCAGACCTTAGTGGTTCAAGACGTTTCCCTCTTGTCACTGGTACAAAGAACAATCTTGCAGAAATTTCAAGCTTTCAAAAACTTAGATTTCAATGTCGTATGATAATTCTACATTTGCTAATAACAAAATAAAGATTCTATGTTTTCTTTTCAACATCTCTCTCAGAGAAAGTGCTAGTACACTCAATGGCTGTACAGGGACAGCTTTGGCCTAGTGCACCACTTAATAATAATAATAATAATAATAATAATTGCTTACATTTATATAGCGCTTTTCTGGACACTCCACTCAAAATGCTTTACAGGTAATGAGGACTCCCCTCCACCACCACCAATGTGCAGCATCCACCTTAAACAAACTTAAACAAACACATTCCTTTCTTTTGTTGTATGAAGATATTTCCTACACGGTAAAACTTTTCAGTAGTTTCCTCTATTATCTGGTACCACAGAAATCAAAACTGGAGGATTTCGACAGCTTCTAAAACCTCTGTTTGTTCAGCTTAATTGTCCTTCAGGCTCCTGATGAGACAAACACTTTTAGAAGAGTTTTTAATCCTACCTGACTGTATGAACTTTCTGTCCAGATATCCAAAAATGTCACAGGCTGCTTTCTAGCTTTTACGGTAAATTTGACACTTTTTTTGTATAAGGATGGAAATAGAACTCTGCAGTGATAAACATACCTAAAGAAATTACTAGATTTATTATTAAAAAATACATCCAGGCTGAGCAAAATGCCAAAGTACAATACCACACACTGGCACACAGTCTGAGCTGTGATTTCTACAATGGCTGACTAACAGACGATAAATATTGCATCCATATGGACAAAGACGGCCCTGCCCTGTATCTGGCTGCTGTCCTAGAACTGCAGAGTCAACACAGACTGTGTGCTCGGCCCTGGAGCAGAACTTTTGCTATTTCCATAACTCTGTCGCTCAGGGATGTGCCAGTCAGCGTGCTGTGTGCATATAAGCAATTAACTGCTTCCTGGGCACTGTTCCCTGTACTTTCCAACTGCATAACTATAAACCAAATGTTTATAATGTATTTTGTTCTATGAAGTGACAAGAGAAAGTTTCCCAAGAAAAACGCTTTGTTTATAAAAACTCCTTCAATAATTCAGTCACATGAGGACAAATGCACTTAAAAATGAACATACTTCCTTGTTCTGAATATATTTGATTTACTTGACAGATTTTTTATCCACAGCATACAACATGCTACAGGTACAATTTATGCACACAGGCCTTTTATTACAGCAATCTGAGAGAAGTACCAGGTTCAAGGTCACAGCAGCATCGACCCACCCACCTGTATTACTTCTTATGCTTTATTGATTTATTTAAGATGACCAACACAGAACCATGTAATATTCAAAAATACATAATAATTATTTTAATAGTACTGTAGCGGCAATGCTTGTTAATAAGATGGAATTAAGTGTTGCTGTGCTTTCCCAAATGAGGCTCCATCTCTCTCTTCATCTCTGTGGTGCAGCCATAGAGAAACTATTAATGCAGGCTGATTTAAAGATGTTTTCTTTTGATAAGGGACAGCTCCAAAAGGGGATGCACTTAGCTAAGCCTGGCTATCAGGATCAATGGTCATCCATTGGCGCCTATCTGTCTAGGGAGTGCCAGATGGACATCTGGACTGCATTCCTAAGTGTCAGGAGTAAGTGACTCATATCTC